ACACACTCTTGTGTGTTACAGCCTGCTCAGTGTTTTATAACTAAGGTGTCACTTTATTTTTAAGCTCATTTAATAAGACAAGTTGAACCAGAACAGACTCATTTGGAGCAGCATAGAAACACATACAGTACACACATGGATCACTGTGTAGAGCTATGGGCAGCTTCTGCACAACTTCTATAATTAATTAAAGTCCCACTCCAGAAACATTTTCATTTTTATATTTGTATATAAAAATACTTTACTATAAACAATATGCAGTCTAACACAGCTTTTCCTCAAAAAAATTTCAGTGGGCCTCTGTAATAGGAATGAACATTGCCCCTCATTGTGCATTCCAGGATCTATGAATGTTGCCGTCATCCCTTATGTGGATTTGAATAATTTTGCACGCCCAATTTTTCAGTTTTTTATTTGTTAAAAAAGTTTGAAATATCCAATAAATTTCGTTCCACTTCATGATTGTGTCCCACTTGTTGTTGATTCTTCACAAAAAATTACAGTTTTATATCTTTATGTTTGAAGCCTGAAATGTGGCAAAAGGTCGCAAAGTTCAAGGGGGCCGAATACTTTCGCAAGGCACTGTACATGTGTCTGAGAGCTGGAGCTAGTGGATGCCTTTCTAAATAAGATTGAACAATATTAAACAATAGGAACAGCTTTGAAAATGCAGTACAAAAACACAGGACGGCACCTTCACTGACTTCCAACATTTAAAAGATACTTGTGCAGTGATGCATTAATATTCACAATATGAATGAATGAACTCTTGATGACAGTCAGAAATTATATCTAGGAATTAAACAGCTGACAACAGCTCAGTTTAAACACTGGGCAAAATGATCTGACAGAGGTGAGGAGGGTGGAGGTGTTGTTTGAACATGCATCCCCCCCACAGTCTGATAACCCCAGTGACAGTGGGACAGGACATGGTGGCTCTCAGCTACACCCTCAGACTGGATTCAGATGTGGAGTTCTTCCTCTGGATGTATTAGTATCTAAAGCTAACCTCTTTGTTTTGGTAGCATTATCCACCCAGCATGGTCATGATTTTAATTTGGGAGTAACTGGAGCTTTGTGTAACATCAGTGCTTTTTGTCACAGTAGCGGTAACCAGACTGTTCTACTGGACTGACACACTGACTGTTAGCCAGCTAACAGTCAACTTGGTAGTTTAATTTATGTCATTTCTAGGAAACAGAACATGATGGGAGGGGCTTATAGTGGTAAGGAGCAGCTTGTTTTGAGTCTCACTAGACCCTCTAGCCTGAAAAGACATTAGGTAGAGTCACTGTAATAATGCATATAATTTCCTCCCACTGTGTTTCTCCAGATGACGTTCCCCCTGCGCTGGCTCTGTCCCTACATTCCTCTGTGTCCGCTGCAATTGGCCGACGTGCTGCTGGCGCCGATGCCCTTCATCGTTGGCGTCCACTCCAGCTACTTTGACCTGTACGACCCCCCCACAGACGTGGTGTGTGTTGACCTGGACACCAACACAATCTTCCAGTGAGTAGTTTGAGCATCATTAAGCAGTGTGAATCCAGTGTTGAGGCATCAAACATACATAATGGTAGTAGTATATAAAACCTTTCGTCACCATGAGGATTTGTCTTTCATGTCTCAGATCGGAGGATAAGAAGCAGTTGTCATGGCGATCGTTACCCAGAAAGCATGGCAAGACTCTTTTCAACACCCTCGCCAACCTTCACAAGACTCTGGAGAAGAGTGAGTGATTGATTGGCAGCAATTTTCAAAATAAAGTTACGCAGTTTCAGGGGGAACATCGAGAAAAAAAACACAGTGAGACAAGAGCAAACATTGTCATACTGTTGTAACAACATGATGGTTTATGTTTAACATGCCTTAGCAGACTTTTCTTATTTATATGCTGTTTGTTTGCTGTGTCTTCACATTTTTAAAAGTAACACTTTAAGTCTCACTACTTCCGGTATATACATTTAGTTAACAGTCTGAAGTCGAAAGCTGATATGAATCTTTAAAGTATTTATCAAACCTACCAACTCTTCCTGTGGACACTGTTGTGGCGGATGCCCTGAAATGACACTAAGAGGGCAACAATACTATACTGGGTGATCCAGCAGCATGGCAGCACAAACAGGAAGCAGTATTGTACCACGACCCTGCAGGAAATGCCACTCTAACAGTGTCCCTAGTGGCAGCTTCAGGAATAACATGCAGTATAACAATGTACCAAACACATCAGATACTCAGAGGTGGAGGCTGCCGTCCAAACACAAGGTGAAAGACGGTATAGTAAAACACAGCTGATAATATATAATGTCTTCATAGGACATGTTGGAACTGTTGGCATATATTTTATATGCATTATAACAGTTATATCTACACACATTATAGTTTGTTATAAGCCATTTATTAAGTGTTTGTATACTACTAAGGAACTGCTAAACTGTGGGACTTTCAATAAAGTGCTACCACAATAAATAATCACGCACACTGTAACTCACTGAACCTTATGTGGACTCGCTTCTGGTCTCTGCAGTTTGCACCCCTGGCCAGGAGGAAGCAACACTGGAGTCCGTCTAGGACCAGATTTATAGGCGTCAGAGGCAGCTGGAGCTGGAGATCCAGGAGGCATGCCTGCGCTTCATGAGTAGCCTGCTGCGAGGATACCGCACCTTCCTGCTGCCCATCACACAGGCTCCTTCAGATACCACCACCGACTGCAGCTCATTGTTCAACCTGCAGGGTGAGCATCGACACAGGGAGTGTGTGGACCACAGAATAATTCATTCTGGTGTCTGGTAATGGCTTGGCTTTGTCAGTAGCACAGACTATCAAAATGTATATCCCAAAATGTAAATTTCATAAATATCTGGCCAGATTTGAATCAGGCATCATGTTGTGGGCCATAACATCAAATAACCAGTGCCAGCGCCTGTTGCTGCTTGATTTCTTGCCGTTATGCCTGTTTCAGTTTTTACTCTTCATTGTCTGTTGGAGGTGGAGCACAGTATTAACAGACATTCAGTGTTTCCTCACAGAGTCTGAGTTTGAGCAAATCAAGGTGAGGTTCAGAACTTCAGACTGAGGCTGTGTCTGACCCTGATCAGTGAACCCCCTCCTCTTCGTCCTGCAGGTTTTTTGAAGTCTCGGGATCGAACGCAGCAGAAGTTTTACAACCAACTTACGAGGACTCAGATGTTCACTCAGTTCATCGAGGAGTGTTCCTTCGTCAGTGACCGCCACGCCTGCCTTGAGTTCTTCGACGAGTGTGTCCAAAAGGTCAGTCTGTTTATCACTCACCACTTTACAGCAGAAGCCAGAATCTTGTCAGAAACTGTGAAGCAGCTGTAGGGATGTTGAAGTACAGGACCAGCCTGCTGGTGTTCCAGATGCACCGGCCTCTGCTTTTCTTTCTGGAAAATGTAATATTAACAAAAAGTTCAAAGCTCAAGTCAGGAAAAGAATATCATGTCTGTAATCACTCCTGAAATCAGCACAGAGAATATCTCATCCCTGTGTTCTGTGTTGATGTTTATTTGCAGGTGGATGTGGAGAAGCCGGAGGAGGTGAGGTTGATCGATCTGGATGAGACTTACAGTGGAGAACACACAGTCTTCATCATGCCTCCTGAAGAACCACAGGAACCTGACGGGTCCGAGTGTCCCGCTGTCTACAGGTGCCACCTCACTCTGACTGACATCAGAGCCTCTGATGCTCCATTCACATCACATCTGAAGTTTCCCTCCCAGTGACTCAGACATGATGTTTCCATGAATGTTCAAATGTTCTCAGATCAGATCTGGGCTCCTAGATCCAATTCATATCCAATCATGTCACTTACACACATGGATGTGACACAAAGGGACTGGGCTCCTAGATCCAATTCATATCCAGTCATGTCACATGGATGTGACACAAAGGGGTCGGAATAGAGTGTTAAGGCTTGTGATGTGGGCGGAGCCAGAGCTTCAACACAGCATGTCCCTTCCTCATGTTGCATATGCTGACTGGACGTTGTTTCCCCCCTCATGTGTCCAGTTACGAGACCTTCCCCAGCTTGAAGCCAGAGCTCTTCGACCAACCCCAGGACCAGCTCCGTGCCCCAGCTAAAGGCAGTGCACCCAGCAGCCCCGCCCCCCGACGTACAAAACAGGTAAAACGACACACAGCTTTTAATAATATTCACAGCTTATGCTTTTTTTAATGGCTTATCTAGGACCCCTGAATTCAGACCAGGAAAACAAAGCTATAACTACTGTATGTGAATGTTTAGTCATGGTAGAAAATGTAAGTTTTAATTAATGAAAAAGCCAAGTTGATCTTGGAAATAAAGATTTATTTGGATTTTTACAACTCTGGTATGACTATTTTTTTCTGGATAAGGTAAGCTACTGTTCAAATAAATTTAAATACCGAGCTGAACTGAGATAGGGTCAAATAAATTGATCCTGCTCTCTCTAGTAAAATGTTTATGGCCCTCATGCTACGGTACAGAGAGATCATCCTAACGCTCCCTGCAGGGAGGCATCCAGATCTTTAACTGGGAAAAATAACATTTATCCCAGGAGAGAAAGAGTCTGATCAGTACAAGTTTAGACTCTGAACCTCTGGGGAGTTTTTCACTGTGACCCAGTTTTTCCAGAATGAAGAACAGAGGAGGTTCTCCTGTGTGTAATTAAATTTTAATGAATCATTATCAATATTTCACTGCTTATTCAATATTCAGATAGAATATTGAATGTGTTTAAGAACCACAGAAGTTATTTTCTGGTCCCTGAAACAGAAGATGGAAAAAGTTTCTTAATGTCACTTGTAAGAATAAAGTCACACAGGCTGCTCTCACATTGTACAAAACAAGGTTTGTCTTTGATTGTAAGAAAGGAACACACCATGAGATACTTTAAATCATTAAAATGTTCAGACGCTTCAGGTTTCAGCACGTGTATAGTTGTGTAAATGACCAGACTGTCTATTGGTGTTGCATATTCAAAAGAAATGGTGTTTTAAACTCTAAAGCTTCATATTTTTTAAATCTAGATTTAGACCTTATGTTTAAGTCTAAATGTTCAGATTTAAATCCTCAGAGTCTGTTAAGGTTTTATTTAAATACATGCAGAGAGATCCAGTTGAATGGTTAAATGTACTGCAGAGGCGCATTTACAATGACGAAAATGGAATATTTTATTTTGGCTTTGTATTTTTATCCTGTGTCATGTTTGATTCGACTGCTGCTTGTAGTTATTGTTGTTTTGTCTCTGTGATACTTTTATGTTTCATGTTGGTTTTAAATGCATCTCTTTTTCTTTCTACTTTTTTAAAATAATACTTGTGTAATGTGCACGTTGTCATATGTCAAAATCAAATTCAAACAAAAATTAAGATGTTAATTTTAGGCCAGATTTCTCATAAGTGGAGTTGTTTTTTTACCTTCTTATATAAACCTTCCTCTTGTTCTGCTTTGTTTAAAAAATATTCTATCTGGCAGTGCCAGTACATTTTGATTAAAGAGTGTTTTTAATCAGTGAATCAGTTTGTAGAGCACCGCTCAGACAGGTTCATGCAGTTCAAAGTGCTTTACAGATGCATGAAAACACAGAATAAAGTGAACATTCAAATTAAAAACAGTGAAAGTAATGCACACAAGTAAAAAAATAATATATTTATATATAAATGTAAAATAATTCAAATCTGTTAAATAGAACTAAGATTAAAAAGTAGATCAAATTGAAGACAGTGTTTAAGACATTTTTCTCACATACAAAATCGAGCACATCTACATTATGAAATGTATTTATTCTATGCCCCCCTCCCAGGAGATCAAGTTGGCCCAGAAACGAGCTCAGAAGTACTCGGCTGTCCCGGACATGTGGTCCAAGTGCCTGCTGGGTCACTGTTACGGCCTCTGGTTCATCTACCTGCCCACCTTTGTTCGAGCGGAGAGCGCCAAGGTTCGCGCCCTGCACGCGGCCTATGATGTCCTCAAACACATGGAGAACCGCAAGGTGGTGCTGCCAGACGAGGTGAGGTGCTGACAGGGTCAAAGGTCTCTGCAGCATAGCTGTCGGATTTGTAAGAAAGAGTCGCTGATCTCTGCTCTGTTTTTTATGACTTCACTTCTTAAGCTGCACAGAACAACGTCAACAGACAGAGCAGAGATCATCCGACTCTTTCTTACTCCAGAGACTTGAAAAAGACTTGTTGAGACTTGTTTTATCCTCTGGATCTCCTCTAAAAGTGCTTGAACCTTGGAATTACCTCTGAGCAGAGCCCAGATTTAGTTCCAGGAACTGTTCTGTAAAGAAACAGAAGCAGAACCTGTGACAGTGATGCATGTTACTTGGAGAGTCACACTGAATGTGTGTGTGTGTGTGTGTGTGCGCACGCGTGTGTGTTTTAGGTGTGTTACCGGATACTGATGCAGCTGTGCGGTCAGTACGGCCAGCCCGTCCTCGCTGTTCGAGTTCTGCTGGAGATGAAGAAGGCGGGAATCACACCCAACACCATCACCTACGGATACTACAACAAGGTCCCAAGACACAAACACTCATATTTAATGAGAGTTGGTCATTTTCTGGACTCGACAGCAGTAAAATTGAAGCTGAATGTTGATTACATTAACACTTTGTCAGCCAACCTTCGGTTATAGCTAACCTCTTTACTGAAGGGATGTGGCTGGTGGAATAACTGTGATTTCCCTGCCAGCCACAGACAGGTGACAAGTGTTAGGTTGTCCTCTCATCTGTCACCTGTCTGCACTTTCAATTTTATAATTAAAATGGTGTGAATGCATTGATAGAGGGAGATGTGGCTGACCAGACATTCTCTGTCCTCAGGCAGTGCTGGAGAGCAAGTGGCCCTCCACCAGTCAGAATAAATGTCTCCACTGGGCCAAGCTGAGGAACGTACTGTTGGCCGTGGCCCAGTTCAGACAGCCAATCAAACGGCGCCAGAAGAGTGGCTCTGTGGGGTCACAGGGAGGTAAGAAAACATCTTAATAAATAATTTAGGCAAGATTAAGCCAGGATTTTATAACAAAGCATGAAGTTGAGATGGTCACTGTGACAAATGGTTACAGTTTTAACTCGAGATAAACCACACCCCAGTGTCAGAGCTGTAGATTTTTTGATGTTTGTTTTTTGGATTTGCTGCATAACTTTACATTCTAATGAAGATAAAACAATTTTCCTGACTCATTCTGTAACTCCACTTCAGGATAACATTTAAAATGATGTGATATATGATCATAATGTTAATTATAATATTTTATTTAAAGAAGCAACGATGGACCTTGATCTGAGGCCCCGCCCCCACTCCACTCTGATCCGTCGGTCTAGTTGGAGCGGTCTGAGTGAAAGCTCCAGTCACGAGTCTTTGACCGGCCCGCTGATGAAGAGCAGCAGTATGAAAAGCATGAAGGCATCAAACGACAGTAAGGAGACAACTTTTTCTACTGCGTCACTTCCTCCCATCCCACATCACTTCTGGGCTGAGTGGGAGCTGCACCACCGGGCTCTTTATCCAAACCAGATTTCTTATTTATAGACACTTTCCAGTAAAGCATCCAACAGGCTCCTGCTTAAAATATACAAGCACCATCCACAGTATGGCCTTGGAATCTGAAAAGAACACAAAACTCACACAGTTAAACAAAAATGACTGATAGGAAGTTAACGAGTGGTGCAACATGCATCAGCATCTTATACATTCATATGTAGATGGAGCTCCATCCAGTAATTCTTACCCATCTGATAGGAAAACATGTTGCCCATCTGAGCAAAAATTAAATGACAAGCCTAGGAACTGTTTTACCTCCACTTAGAATACACACAAAAAATTTGTCACAAAATAAAGAGTTATCAACCCAAGCCACTGCAGTGACGCTGCACAGGCTCAACCCATTTAACCCAGAATCAGTCGTCCCTGGTTAACTTTAGAATCGGGCCAAATTTCAGCCATATCAGTTCTCATGTGATGTTCAAGCAAGGTACCAACATCTGATTAATCACCTGATTGATCAGTGATCTGGTGAGTGGTGACTGGTTGGATTTCTGGCATTGCCAGAATTTTGGTTGGTGCAATTTACCAACATGGCTGCTGCCATAGTATCTGTTATAAACTGCAGGGCCCTTGTTTTAAAGTGGCTGGAGTCGTATCTTACAGGTTGTAGCTAAAACTTCACTGAGAACAGACCAACAGTATATTTTGCACCTTTGTTTTTCTCTCTGTTCATTGTATTAACCCAGAAGGTAAAGCCATCTCTCTCTGTCAACATGAGAACATGGCTTTCTAGTTTGATTACCAACAAAAAGCTTCGTAATTAGGTTCAGTGTGAAGCCGATGGACTGACCTGTTCTGGACCGTTCACACTCGCAGTGTGAGTTAACACAGTGCCTGCCCAGCTCTCAGGGTTTTTCATATATTATTCCAAACTTCCTCAGTTACCTCTGACCATCATTCTGTCCAGCAGCATCTTACCTCCTCTCTCTCCTTTGTCCTCCTCTGTCTCTCAGAGGTCATAGTCTGTAAGAAGTCCATGCTCCCTAACAGTGAGACCAAGGCCTGCAGTGACGTCATCTCCCGTAAACCCCCTCTGGGACTCAGAGAGACCTCCACTCCACCTTCAGCCCCCATCGGTGGTGGTGTGGTTCCACGGAGTCAGGTCTGCCTCTCCACCTTCTACGCAGAGTGTGCAGAGTTGGCGAACTCAGAGCTGGATTGCAGCTGCCAGCCTGCAGAGAGAGATGGCAGGTCAGTGTGCATGTGTCAACCTGCTTTTAATGCACTGTTCTTTTATTGAGGGATTTTGCTCCATCAGCCTTGGATCTATCACAGGTTACACTTAGAATGTTTGCAGCTCTGTGCATGTTCTCCCTGATTTCACATCCTTTAATGTTTTATGATTTGTTTCTCTCTACTCTCTCATAACTAGCTTTGGATTTGCATTGAAAGGTGTGATATAAATAAAGGAACCTGTCCTCCAAAGACATGATCCCTTTTAAAGGAAATGCATCCACTAATAGAGGATTATAAGGCCGAACAGTTTGAGGCAAATATCAAACAATTTTTTCCCTAATTGAAGTTATGTTCTATACATTTAATATAGTACAGTGTGTTGTCTAGTATGGAGTCAGTGCAGGGGACAGTTGTGTGTCAGTTGAAAAACCTGGCTGACCACACTGTTACAAGGATGTTTTCTCTGGTAATATTACACGAATGTCAGCTTTTGCCATTGGGCATGTAGCGTAAAACACGTGCCAAATGTCAATATGCGAGTCGTCAGTGCGACGATTCGCTGTGGCGACCCCTAAAACGGGAAAAGCTGAAAGTGACTTTCTATCAGCTTTTGCCATTAGACCGAAAAATCCCACAGGTCCCACTCTTTGTTCCTCCTCGATGCACCTAGCTGCTCTCAATTGGTGCATATTGTTCCTCTCTGTACCTCTTGTCATTCATCTTCTGGACCCCCAGACCGGTGGGAACACGCAAGCAGATCGGCAGAAACAAGGGCGTCGATGAGAACTACAACAACGTCTCTTCCCCGAGCCGAGGGGGCCTGGCAGGGAAACTCCAGCAGCTCCTCACCCCAACGACCGGCAGCCAAAAGGTGGAGGAGGGGTCGGACGAAGAGTGTCTGATCAGAGACAATCCAGGAAATCTCAAGTGGCTGAAACTCTGCTGAAAGCCAAGGAGAAGCTGGTCAGCGCTAACTCAGAGGTTTGAATCCCAGATCAGCTTCTTAAATGTTATCAGGAAAAGTCCCTCCTCACTTCACCTCAGCTTTTATCAATTAAACCAATCAGTCAGATGCTATTTGTAAAGCACCTGTTTGTACAGACTCACGTGGTTGATGGTTCTTTACAGGTGACAACAAACTGTCGATAAGTAAAAACAACATGAGAACAACTTGAAACTAAGCCCCATATCACACATTTTTAAAAAGATTTAGTAAAAACACAATAGATGAAAATCAGATACTGATTGAAAAGAACAACAGGATCTTTGGGAATCTCACAGTTCAGTTTGATTTCAGTTCTTGGTGTCACATTTGATTCTCAAATTAAATATCAGTTCTGAATCCAGGGCCTCTTTAAGCCATATCGCTGAACTGCAGTAGTCTACTGGTTAAGATACGTACTACTAACAGGTACAGTTACAGGTCACCACCTGAAAAAATCAAGCAGAGAATTTTTATTTGAAATAGTTCACTGCACTATTTGAATTTCGGTCTGTTTCTTTGAGGCAATGAGTGATAATGGAAACACTAAGTCTGAGGTAACGCTGCAGCCCTGGTGGGAGGTTTGCATTTAAAATAGAAATGCAAAATATAAAATACAGTTTTTTTGTTTCTTGACTTTTGTTCAAATATAAAAATACATTTTGGTGCTCAAGTGAAATGGGTTGCTTCTCTTTTTCATGTAATTGAACTTCAAAAAGAAATGACCAAAACCTCAGGCAGAAGTGCAGTTATTGTCTTATGCAGTCCACTGTCTCTGGTCTTTTGAAATCAGACTGTGCTCTACTCCACTAACATTAGGCAAACAGTGTGAGCCCACAGGTTTGCAGTATTCCTCCAGTACTATGCCGTTGTCATGCTGTACTTCTTCCTATAAGAGTTGCAGTGCCCGACTCCTGTGTGCACGAGTGGTAGACTATTAGAACCCTTTTTTGCTGTTAGCAAAGAGGAGGCATAATGTTACTGACAAAGTACAAGAATTTTCAAAATCAAAGCATAAGAATTTTTTCCCACCACCACAAGTATTTGTTAACCAGATTCATGCTGTTCCTGGTCTTGTGTTGTTCAGAGAGTTACTGGCTAAACTACTGTCGTCTCTTCTCAGAGCTCGTTGTCTGTGGGAAGTGACCTGGACTTGACAGAGACTCCGAGCCCAGCGTGCCCTCTGCGCAGGTCCTGGGACGCCAGTCAGGAAATGCCCAGGCTCGAGGTAAACAGCTCTTTTTCTGGAAATGACTTCAACAGCTAGTGTGCCTTAGTTATGTTAGATAGGTCTGGTGTTGGCGTTACTGCACTCTCCCCCTTCCCCGATAGCTTTTTTGTTTAGTTTTTACACCAATATACAAAAATTCAAATGAACTTGCAAAAAATCGGGAAAGTTGCACATAGTCTGCACATAATAATACACATCCAAAAATACAGCAATGCCAATTAGTTAATGTTAGTTAATCCATAAGGGTAGCGTCACTGAGAAACAAGCCTCTGAATGTTTTCTTAACTTGTGCCGATACTGAGATTAGAACATGAGAGACCAGAGTCAGAGCTGCAACGTCTGGAGAGTTTTCTCTGTTTCTCTTTATTTTATTTGTAAAGGAGCGTGTACAGTATTAAAAATTAGTTACCATTTAAATGCACTGTTCTAGATTTAGCTGAAAGCTCACCGTCATCTGCAGGTCACAGCGACAGAACAGCACGAAACAGACCAAACAAGACAACACATGAAATGTATGTTAAATAAAGTAGCCAATAGTTGTATACAAGGCAAAATCTGTCAAATCCAGACTCGGCGGTTGCAGAGTTGAGCAGCTTGTATCAGATTTTTCAGTTTGGCTTTAACAAAGTCTTTTATTTGAAGAGAATCTAAAATCTCAAACCTCTGAAGATGATGTTTCTCCAGTAGCCTGTGGTGATCACACTGAATTCACTTTTTATCTAGAACTGTTAAGGACTCTGTGTCCCCGGCCACTGTGTAACACAGTGGTACATGTGGGTAATGATCATTCACAGACATGTTGCTCAATTTCTAGTTTGTCTAACATGTGCTGGGCTGTATTCAGCAGTCGCGCTGACCCCTCCCTGCCCTCTCTGTGTGTCCAGGTGTTGATGTCCAGCTGCTCTCTGTGCCGCAACTGTGATTCACTGGTCTATGACGAAGAGATCATGGCCGGCTGGACATCAGACGACTCTAACCTCAACTCCTCGTGCCCGTTCTGCTGCTCCTCCTTTGTCCCCTTCCTCAACGCTGAGATCTGTGACCTCGGACCTGTCAGCAGGTACAAACTTTCATCAGTGAACCACAGCTGTCATCACACCCTCAGGCTGTAACAAAGGCCAATAATATTTGGTTTTTAGCAGTTACAAGTTTCTCTTCAGATCTTAATGCCACTGTTGTGTTGATTCAGAACTGCTGCTGACTTCCTGCCTCCACTGCTCATCTGCTGGACACATAGCCTTACTTTCTGAGGACGTGCACAGTCAATTAGGACGATAATCAGCCTTTTTCTGATCAGATTTTCTGCTCACATTTGTCAAAGTGTGGGCCGCAGCAACTGGAGTGTGGAGGACGAGGTGGAGAGTGTAGTGCGGCCACCCAGTGGCCACGAGGAGGCCCTGCCACACCAATGTAACGGTCTGAGTGAAGACTCCAGCTCTGAGACCAGCAGCTACTCCGAGACCAGCAGGACCACCACGGTAACCATCACACATCTGACATGCTTTATATGAATCCACATAAAGTCCGCATCTCAGGCCTTAGCGCTCAGCTCTGATCTTTGTATGTTGCTGCTTCCCGTTCATGTGTGTCAGTGCCATGTACCTGGCTCTGGTGTGAACACCGCTGAGCTCCTAAACTGCCACAAATGCACAGATATAACGGAAATATGAGCCACGTGTACACAAGAATAACAACCAGGTCGTGTGTGCGACGGTCAAATGGCCCAGTTTCCTCCCAAACTGCTGGGTTATGATATGTTCTTTTCAGTTAGGCCTGATCAGAAGCTTCTCCATAAATGTCCACCACATGTGAAATGTCCTGGTCTCTCCACTGACCCCGTTGCTGTCGACACTCTCCTCCATGTTTATTGTTACCGGTCTGTGAGGTGCCGAATGATGATGACGGGGGGGAGACATTAAAACAACCACATGGATTCTGATTCTGACAGCACTCGCACAGTCAGAGGTCAGATGGGAATTGGGTCTAGGAGCACATACACAGGTGGCCGAGATCTGGTCTAAGGACATCTGGTCTGGTCTGTTCACACTGCTGTGGACACATCAGGTGTGAGCCACTGGGAGGGAAACTTCAGCTGGGATATGAAGACAGATATTTTATGAAGTTGTCTTGCTTGTATGTCCTCCCCCATGTATCTGCCCCCTCCCTCAGGGTTCATCAGTGGGTGGGGCTCCTCAGGTGACAGTGGCCTACCTGAGTCCTCTGGTTCTGAGGAAGGAGCTGGAGAGTCTGCTAGAGAACGAGGGCGAGTCAGTCCTGGCTCAGCCTCAGTTCCTGGACAGCCACTCCATCATCTTCTGGAACCTGGTCTGGTACTTCCAGCGCCTTGGTCTGCCCAGTAACCTGCTGCAACTGGTCAGATCCTCGCCTCTGGTCAGCCAGTTCACACAGGTAACACGCGGTCTGATGCTGCAGTAGAGTACGGGACAGTGGCATTTCAAAACATTTGTCTTATTTTGGTGAAAACAAACCAGAGACTTTTTTATTTGTAATTTAAGGGGGGATGTTTGAGTTCATGTTTGATCACAGAGCTTAAATTATCATCCAGTCGCAGTGTTCCTGCATTTTTCAGGAACATAAGTAATATGTGTGTATCTCTGATTACTGTTCCAGTCATTAATATTAATTCATGGGGAAATAAAGTGCTTGACTAATACTAATATGTAGATTTTCATGTTTTTGGACATGTTGTAAAAACGACACCAAATAACTCAAATAAAAGAAGGTAGTGGAAGATGAAAGATGACCAACACACCGATCCACACATGGTTCCTCATCATGTGCTGTGTGTTTCCCAGACTGAGAGCTCAGCAGTGAGAGTGAGGCTCCTCTGGGACACCCTGACCCCCGACACGGACCAGTGGCCCCCCCTCTACATCCTCTGGAGGATCCACAGTAAGACAAGGAGACTGCAGTGCAACACGGACAATATTGTCACCTTAAACTGAACCTGGTGCACTTGATTCTGATTTACACTCCTAATAGTGTCAGTGCAATTAAAAATGATCAGTGTGTAGACTTGGTTTTCTTCTTTTTAGCGTTTTAATGATCCTGACTTTTCATGTAGCAGGTCAGTTTTCATTGGTCTAAAACATGCACGGTGCTAATACGACTATGATGTGAAACTTGTCAGGACCAGCTGTAGTTTGACATCTGTGCTAGCATGCTAAATGTCTCCAGCTGCTTTTCCACTACAGGATCTTTCTGACCTGTAACCTGGAGCTTCCCATAACCTGAATCTGTGTGTTTGTCTTTATGCTGCCGTTGTACCTCAACCATTCTTCCACCAGGTGGCGTACAGATGAGGAGCTACAGCTGGCGCAGACACAACCACCCGTTCACCTTGTCTTTCCTGGAGGAGGTGCTGCGGTGGGTTGGCATGAACGAGGTTCACAAAGCTGTCACCCTCTTCCTGGACACGCTGGCCAAACAGCCGGGGACTCCCAGGATACAAAGGTCAGGCTGGATGTGTTGAATACAGGCACAGACTGTGAGCAACAAGAAACCAGGAGTGTGTAGGAGTTAAAGTTAAAACACAGTATGATGATTGACAGCTCCCAGTTCTTGGCAGAATAAATAAGCTGCCATGTGTGATTTAATAAGTAAACTGTAAATGTGCTCTTTAAAGTACAAGTCAAGTTGTAGTGAAGTGAAAAGTGATTGTGTGTGTTGTTGTGTGTTTGGCAGGAGTTTGTACAGAGAGTTCCTCTTCCTCACTCTGGCAGCGATGGGTAAAGACCATGTCGGTAAGACCAGCTCTGACCGATTTATGTGGCTTTAATAAAAAAAACTATTTTGTGGTGGAAAAAGAGATTTTAGAGTGAAATACCAGGATCTCTCTTCACACTGTTTAACCCTCATCACTGTTGAAGTCGCAGCTTTTATCCAGGAGGCTGACACTCACCTGTGGCAGCTGCTGTGTGGTCAACACAAATTACACACAACAACAGGACCACAGTGTGTAGAGTCAAAATAAACTTGGTAAAAATCCTTCTCTCTCTCTCTCTCTCTACAGCTGCGTTCGATAAGAAGTACAAGGCGGCGTACTCTCGCCTCACCAGTACTCTGGGCCATGAAGAGCTCCATAAGAAGCGAGCGCAGCCTCCCAGCCCCAAAGCTGTCGACTGCAGGCGCAGCTTCCACCCGCCGCTCGAATGCTGAGCGACCTGATGACTCCTGCAGCGTTCATCCCTTTTGAGGGGAAAATGGCAAACGCAGGATCCCTGCTGCCTTCATCTGCTTGTGTTCCTCGTTTCTCTGCTGCCTCTTGTTGGATATGGGAGCATCACGCTCCTTCCTGTCCTCTGTACCTCTGTCCATCTCGTCGGTGTGAATCCCGCTACTCTTTGTCTCCATCGAAGACCCCAAAAGTCGCAGCAGCAGACGGAGCCAAGCTCAACTTTGAAAAGGGGAGGAACCCACCGAGCTGCAACCAGGCGAGAAAACAGACACTCAGGTTTGCACTCGTCCAGAGAGATCAGCTGTGTCAGAGTAAACATTTTCTTTTTCCCTGTTTTTATAATAATTATACCCTGCAAGACATCAGTGCTGGTAGTCCTCTGCTGGACTGACAGTGGGGAAATTTGAAAAACAGAGTTACAGGAAGTCAGTGAGATCAAGAAGGACAATTAGGACTTTATTAGGAGAAAGGTCCAATAAAGATTAAAAAGGCCACGCCAGCATTTGTAGAACTCTTCAAACTTGACCCAAAAAAAGACACATTAGACTTCAAGATGTCTTCAAACTCCTGGAAACTTGCGTTCATCTCTCTGGTTCCCTGTTAAAAACCTTATCATGCTAACAACCAGTGTCCATCAGGTCAGGAGCTAGTGTCCATTATCAGCAGATGAGGAAACAACCAAACATGAAACTAAGACGCTGCACTCCTCACAGCCTTCCACTGTTTGTTGGGAGTGTTTTGGAACAGCTCAGTGTGAGAGTGTGGAAAGTGTCGAATCTCTCCATCTCCGTCCATCATCCAACACCTGAGGAAACTTCTGAGGATGGTCGACAGCCCCATGTGGAGCTACTGACATGATGTTGTAAAGTGTAACATCTCTCCATTTTTAAAATGGGAGAAAGTTTATCTATCACTCAACACTTCAAACAAGAAGCTGAGACTTCTTATCAGTGTTTTGGGAAAGACTGTCTGAGTGTTTTATCATGACACTACCAAGAAAAGAAGCACACATGTCCTGTTTCGGACCATCAAGAAGAACCTGGCTGCAGACAAGATGGTGGACCACATACTAGCCACAGGTTGTTAACCTCAGTAGGTTTGTGCTTAGGGTTAATGTTGGCCCAAACCCAACATCTGATAAAAGTCAACAACTTCCACCTGGGGCTGGCAGTTCACAGATTAGTCGCAGTCCACCATCTTGTCTGCAGCCCGTTCATTCTCAAAGGTTCACTGAAAGACTCAGGATGTCAGCTTTGGTTAGACAGTTTTCCTGAATGAGACAGGTTGGTTAGGGCTTGTTCCTGTAGTGGATCAGACCTGTAAGGACTTTCTCCCCAGACAAAAGCCAGAACCTAAGCTTCTGTTAAATCTCTTTACATAGTTCTTCCCAACAGTTTGGGCTTTCCCCCTCTAAACATCTTTGATTGCTTTATATTGCAGCCTGGTTTCAGACCTTTGTGTCCACATCAGTTCAAAAGCACCCAGTGTCTTTGTTCATCGACAGCTGCTTCCCCAGGTGGTAACACAGCGTAGCCATTCAGAGTCGGTAGGCAGGATTAAGAATGGGGCACTAGTAACCACAAAACTGGCCTTGGTGCGTGGGATGGAAGAAATGTTTGCAGCTGTAAGAGGTTGGTACAGAAATAACTACACTTAAGTCAAAATATACGTTTTGTTTCTTAATTTAAAAATCAAACATTATGTTTTCAGTCATTATTATAACTCCCTTGTTTCTTGAAAGCATCAGTTAGTTTGAGCCAACACAGAGAGGTGTTTTCAAAGGCAGAAACAGTCAACCAGAGCTTTGCTCTCAAGTTTTATAAGGAAAAATAAGTCCAGAGCTGATATCTGTCCAGTAGCTGAAACACGATTCCAAAACTTCGGGTCAGAGTTTCTACATCTGTGTTTAACTAAACCGTGAATTTGTCAACATCCCAAAGCCCGGCTGGAGTCATGCAGGGTGATCTAAACTAATATTGTCAGGGAGAGCAGTGTGTAAACTAACAGCCGTGGGCTCAGTCCCTGCTGCAGCCAAACGCCCTGGAGCAATAAAAGCACCTTCATCTGTGTCTGCAAACTCATTTTACAGGAAACCATCGACTCAAACTGAAACAGTGAATGTTTACTGTTGAAAAAGTTTTATTTTAAATGTGAGTTTTGTCTGCAGAGGACTGAGGAGTCAGTGTGAGTGAGGGATGTTTCACTGCAGCAGAGCAGCTCCTCCGCATCACAGACAAAACATCACACTGTACGTGTTACTGCACAGGACTGCAGCTTGTTCACAGTCAAGGCAGTTTGACTTTGTCGTTTCATTGGTTGAATGATTGTGGTCAGAGGAGAGGAGGCTATTTAAAATAGATAACTGTTTGCTGTTATAATTTATATCTGTGATTTCAGTTGTAAATGTTTTGTTTTTTAAGAAAACACAAAATAAAAGACAGTGTCTAATTTTTGCTGCTTTGTAGTGCTTGATAGAAACGAATTTTATTTATTGGCTCATTTATTATTTTATACATAATTATCAGTTTCTTAATTTTTTGCCCGAATCGTCATTGTCAAACCAAACAGTTACTTTTTGAACCGGAAATTACACGTGTCCCCTTTCAAAATAAAACTCAAACACGAATCGTGTACTGCAATACGGAGTATTGATCTCACTGGGGAAATTGAGCTTTTTAGCTGCGAATTCACACAAGTCACAAAAGTAACAATATTACAACATATGTATCTAAAAAAAAATTTTTAAATCCCTAAAATCCAGATGTTTTATTTTCCAAGTATAGTTTATACAAATATATGTACCCGGGTCAAGTAATAAAATTACAGTTTCCTAAGGGGAGTAACTGAAACTCTCCCTGGTGCAGTAAGGTGTTGTTTAGTAAGTGCCCAGTGGGTGTCGCTATGATAGTTGTATACATACAGTGCTCACCTACAGCTGTATGAGGGCGCATCTGTTGTGACGTCATCACTGTGTGACAGGCGAGTGTCCCGCGGGAAAAAAAAAGAAACAGACCGAGAAGGAGAAAAAGAGAGAAACGCAGGGAAATACAAACCTCCGTGACGGCAGGGGAGACAACACTGTATACGAGTTCGGGGTATTTACTGAACAGGAATTCCGGCATCTGGAAGAATAAGTTCCCTACTGTTGTCTTATTTTTGTTCGACATATAAAAAAAATGGACTGACTATTGTTATTTAAACCCTTCTGTTAAGTAAAAACCAACTTCAACCAAAATTAATGCTGTCCTATTATTTGATAACAAGGGCAGTCGGGAAATAGGACCCACATTTGTTTTGGAGCTGTAGGTGTTGGTCCGAAAACCATACACCTGGCCATACATTACCACACCCCAGCCCCAACATATACATTAGTTTCAACATAATCATGCAGTAAATAAACATCAACAACATGCCATCCCCCCAAATAAATAAATTAATAAAAGGAAATTTAAAATAATATAATAAACAGTCAAGTGCACCTCAGTGTCTTCATATGTTGGTAGTGATGAACATAAAACCTAAATAACTTTTTTTTTATTGAAATAAAGGAGCACATTTTTCCACATAACTGATCTAAATCTAAAACCCTTCTAAAGTCTGTTCTGTCCACTGTTGCCTGTTGAAAAATAAGCAGATGGGTATGTTTTAATACAGCAATAATAAACTTTTTAAAAATACAGTTATGCTTTCATCTATCTTACTTGGAATGGGGATAAGTTTGAGAACTAATTCTCCAAGAAGCTGTGATGCATTTATCTACAAATAGTAACCGTTAAATACAGCACAAGTACGAATTTACTTTCGACATTGCATTGAAATTATTCTCCAACTTTAATATTTTACCATTTTTATTTTGAAAGTTGCGAGCGGATGTGATAGTTTTAATTTTCGTGGACTCGATACTGATCGTGATTTCTCGGCAATAATCGGCACAAATTCAGCATCAGCGTGTAACCAATTAAACCCCACCCAGTGAGGCCAGTATGTGACCAGTAGGACGGACTGGTTCCACTGTTGTGTGTCTCTAACAGAACTGAGTACAACCAGGTGAGTTACCGTGTTATACCGCGTTTCCCTTCAGGTGTTTCTACGCTCGGACAGCGACAGCACGGGAGTGATTTAATTTTTCAATTTTTATCTGGTGAAATCTCGTCACCTTTTGCCCTCGAAATTAAAAAAAGTAAAATGTCGGCATTTGTTGACAGGAAGCTGCTAAAATGTTCATCCTAGTGTGCGTTGTTATCCTGCGTTAATCACGCCAATCCCTGTTAATGAAAAACAACAATTTAACGATTTTTCATATTAGCAACGATTCGGATGGTAGACAAATTATTTAATGAGCTTAACCATCACCTAAGTGTTTTTAGGCGGCATATTTGTATATGTCTCATGTTTTCTGTTTAACCATATTTTAATAGAATTTCAAGTGCAGAACCTGCTCATGTTGCTGATGTTTTCTCAGAGGACAGCCTAAAGGGACTTACTTAAAAAGTTGATAGTTTTCATAAAATACGTGCATTTCTTCGTGATAAATCTATGCGGAATTCATTAATGATATAAAGCGATACACAAAGTGTTTTAATCAATATATTCCTTTGCAGGAGTCTTCTTGCACAAGCCACGAAACCTTTAACTGTTGAAATTTCTAACGGAGTTTGGTTTAAAAGGTTTCCCATGAAGAGCGACCTGCGCATTCGAGACGTAGAGACTCACGACCTGTAATGGCGGTTGGGAGTGTTTCTGTGGGAGGAAAACAACAGTTAAACGCTCATATATGTGGTTTAGGCTAATATAATATTTAATGCGGTTTTTGCGATGTCATAGGGATGAGGGTCCGTTTATTTTCAGACTCGAAACAGCGCGTTTCCTGCGCCCGGGCGGGGCTCCCGTTGGCGCTGTCCGCTGCACGGTGGTACTGAAACAGTAGCCAGCACTCCACCTGCTCTGATATATACAGCTCTTACTACACTATAATATAGAAGTTTTTGGATGGTAAAATGTTAATTTGTGTCTTGTTGACTTATTTCTTGTTGATTAACTGATCAGCTGTCAGTTCATAAAAGGTGAAAGGAGTTAGTTTCCTGTTAAATTTGAAATGCAGTTTATCAATTTCTGAAAATAGCTATTTCAGTTTGTGATAAGGGCTAATTGCTGCGTATCTTCTGACCTGTTTACATTTAACATGAGGGGAAACAGCTGGTTGTTGCCTCTGAAGCTGTGATGTTTGTTTCAGGCTGCAGACTCTCAGACAGGGATGATGTGGGAGACTGTGTTTCTGCTGCTGCTCCGCTGTGTGGAAGGTACAAACATCCCATTGCTTTGAATCTCTATTGTCTTTTGATGTTTGTGTAAATGTAATTTATTTAAACAGCAATTGATTTGTCAGTATACAGCAAACTTAAATGTATATAAGGATGTAAAGAGCCACATCTTTGTTCCTGCAGGTGATACTTGTGAAGTTTCCATTCTTATATTAAAGTGTACAGGAATGACTTACTCAACCATGCATTCCTGTATCACTGTGATTTGCAGCCAGGTGAAAAGGTTTTTCTCAACCTTGACCACAAAGTGTTTATTCTGACATGTTCTGTTCCAATACATCCCAGGCCTTAACGCTCAGCTCTGATCTTGTTGTCGTGTTGCTGCTTCCCGTCTGCTGGGTTACAATATGTTCCTTCCAGTTAGGCCTGATCAGAAGCTTCTCCATAAATGTCCACCACATGGGAAATGTTCTGGTCTCTCCACTGACCCCGTTGCTGTCGATGCTCTCCTCGACAGGCTGTATGTGCAGAGGGGCAGACATTAAAACAGCCACATGGATTCTGATCTGACCGTTCTGACAGAGCTCACACAGTCAGAGGTTGGAAAGGAGTCAGATCTAGGAGCACAGGCACAGGTGGCCCAGATCTGGTCTGAGGACTCCTGGTCTGGGGCCCTTAACTGCACAAGTTTCAAATGTAGTGATATTTGTAATTTCATAATATCATGATAGAAAAATTTCTTGATGCTGTTGTGGGATTGTGGCGATATCTTCCATTATTGTACATATGTTTATTTCGCTGCCCAACAAATGCAACATTAGCCCCATTTAGGACTGAGACAGTCCTGGATACATCTCACAGAAACAGTCAGGACATGACCATGTGGAACACTTTAACAGAGATGAGCAAACAAACCAAGTGCACATAAGCAAAGTCAACCCCTTATCTTAGCTTAAGGGTGGTTACTAAGTGGTGTTTACTAAGCTGGTCACAAACTAACCTGCTGTGTTGCAGCTGTAGCGGCGTCTCAGTGCTGGCAGGGGACGACCTTCTCTGAAGCGGTGGTGTCTCCGGCAGTGGAGAGCAGCAGTATCCTGCGAGTGCCAGGTGTAGCGACATTGCCACAGTGTGTGGCAGCCTGCTGCGACCTTCCTGGTTACGACCTGGCCTGGCTGTTCGAGGGCCACTGCTACATCCTGAGGTGCCAGCAGAGGGAGAACTGCCAGCCCCGGCAAAGACCTGGGGTTGATTCCTTCCTTGCCTTCCTGCGGAGGCCATCCCCGCAGACGCTGGTGCTGCAGTCTCTGATGAGAGGTGAGCCATATGGCGGCCGCTGGAGGCCCCTGTCCCGGTCATCTGAGGCCCCTGGAGATATAGAGGCCCTTAAGGATCTTGCCCTGTTGGATGAGTCCCAGCAAGACATCTATGACCCCGAGATTCTGGGTGTGGAGTACTCTGAGGGAAACCAGGACGAGAGGGGAGGTGGTGGCTCAGAGGCGGATACAATGACTGATCAGACGTCTTTGAAGGCAAGAGACAGGTTTAACCAATCAGTGGCAGCTGATGGTCCAGAACAGGGGCTGACAGAGAGCAGTGTGGCCCAGATTAGATCCTCCTCTCTGGGGAACATGAGTCAGGGGGATGAGGACAGAACCAGGAGCCCAACTGAACCTGCTACTGCAGAGAAAACTGTGAGTCATGACAGGAAAAGAGCAAGAGGTTTCTATATATGACACAGCATAATGATGTCTCACTCTATTTCATTGTCATGTTTTTTTTGTTTTTTTTTTACAGACAAAAACTCAAAGCACAGTTTCTGCACCACTGACAGTCTCATCACAAAAACTGACAACTGACTCCACCCAACATGACCATATAAGGACTTCAGGTCTCATCTCTGCTGCACCCCAGTGGCCCAGCAGCACACCTGTACAGCCAGGTACACCTGAGTGCACCCTGTCATTTAAACACATTCAAATGTGTGTGTTTAGCATTTTACATCCACTACGTGTGGATTTTTTAAATTACTGTTTTCACCACCCACAGGCAACCACATTCTGCACAGTAACGAGGTGGAGGCGTGGTATCAGGCCGCCAATCAAAACTATCAGTCATCCGAAATGCAGCCCTTTTTACACCATCAAATAACTTGTATTAAAAACAAACATAGCAGAAAAATGACTACTTTACACAGATCGGTGTAATAATATCTACCAGGAACAGCAGAAATCACCTCTGAGAAAGATGTATTTGATTTGTACTTTGAGTTTATATTGTGGCTCTTGTCTCATCCACTAACACGGACGGGGCGGGGTTTATGATCTATACTGCAACCAGCCACCAGAGGGCGATCAACTCTCGGTGGCTTCACTTCTGGGAGCTGTCATGGCGTCCACGTTTATATACACACTGTTTGGTAATAATACAACTATGCTTCACCTGCAGTTCAACCCCTAGTGGTGTCTCTTGGAAACCGTGTAGAGCAGCCCACAGTCTCACCTGAACACGCATCTGGTACTGAAAACACACACACACACACAAGGTCTGTTATATAATTTGTGTCACATATGGAATTATAATAATTAAACTCTTGTTAAATAATGGAGAACTGAACATGTTGTGGTTTTTAAATTCCCATATTAATGAACTGCTTTTTATAATTGTTGTTCACTGTAGGTTAACTACTCTCACTTGCCAGTTTATTGGGTACACCCAGCTCATCACACTGCCAGTCACCACTCACTTCTTCTAAACTCTTTTTTACAGCCTGTAACTGTATTCTTGTTTTACCCTTTTCAGTTCATTTTGCACTTTTAAAATCCCGTTCATGTTTCTGCATTTCCTTTACATCTTGTCTTGATGCCTTTTACTTAAGTAAAAAGTTTTAGATCAGGTGAAAGCAGAGAAAGCAGACCGAACCAAATGTCAGTTTTGTGTGTGAAACCACAATGTACTGTAAAGGAGAGGACAGTGTATAGTGCTTAAAATCACACTGGTGTGAACAAATGCTTTATAAAAGCTCAGAAATCATAAGAGTTCGAGTTTCATTCTTTCATTTGTGCGCTTTCTCACAGACACAGTTAAGATGGTCCAGTCTGCAGCCGAAGCTCCACCGACCAGCAGCCAACCCCCTGCCCAGACTGTGACCTCTGACCCCACCACCACCATCTCAACTCCCAGCATCAACTCTTCAACCATGACCACACTGTCTGCTACAACGGGTAAACAAATGCACACAACGGGAATCAGAACAAAAACCAATATTTCAACTGAACAAATAGAAATGAAGACATGTAAACAAACCACAACACTTCCTTTTTCCTCTCTGCCCTCATTTAGTCTCAGGGGACAGAGGGTCAAACTGTGGTCCGGTGGCCATTGTAGGTCCTGACAGGAAGTTGTTTCTCCCGGTGAGCAACTTGTTGCTGGATGGCAGAGGCAGCACTGATGACCATGGTATCGTCAGCTATCACTGGGACGCCATCAGGTGGGATGCATACATCTGTCGAGTTTGTGTTCGGTTAATGGCAGGTTCGAGCTTGTAAACAACCTCAGAGGGGTGGAGGTATCGATCCATCCCTGATTAAAGTGAAAGTAGAAATACCACAGTCTAAAACTACGATATGAAATAAATGTTAATCAAATAAAAGTACAAAAGTATTAGCACCAAAAGACACAGTACCTGAACTACCAGAGTACCAGTACTCATCCTGCAGAACGGTCCGTGTCACATTAATGTCTCTGATACTACTGGATCCTACTGACGAATACATTACTGTGTTCATCACTTTAATGCTGTAGCTCCTAAAGGTGGAGCTGATGTTAACGACCTTATATACTTATACTGTGAAGTACTTTACATCCTGCTGGGTAGCTGGTGGATTTCCCACTGGGAAGTTATCATATACATGTAGTGCAGTAAAAACTACAAGGGTTGTCTCTGATATGGAGTGAAGTCCATTATAAATGTGCTTTAAATAAAGGTGTGAGAATTCAATTTTTGTATAAATGTTTTAATTAAAAATTGAACATGTTATATATTGTAAGAAACAAATTTACTAAAGACGCACTTGTGCTTTTTTTTTCGGGTGTGTTTTTCCCAGTGGTCCTCCAGGATTAGAGCTGCGGGGAGCGGACCAGTCTGTAGCCACAGTGACAGGACTGCATGTGGGGAACTACACCTTCACACTGACTGTCTCGGACCAGGAGGGGGCGACAGACACCGCCTCCCTGACGGTCAGGGTCCAGGACGGTGAGAGGGTTACGTTCACTTTAATGTGCTGTTAGATTTGGCCCCTCAACCTTTGTCCAGACAAACAAAAGTCTGGGAAACAAAGTTCTTTGTCCCCTTTAGTCCAACAGATCAGTACAACACTCTTTTCTGCATTATATTTCACATCATACTTCAATCCATAGTCCGAGCACACATTCAGCAGTTGCTGAAAACCAGCACTGCTGGGCGAAAGTATGGCCAAATCATCAGCATACATAAAATGATTTACAAGATTAGGGCCTATCATACATCCAGTGTTACATTTATTCAATTCTTCAGACAACTCATCCATATATAGGTTAAACAGGGCTGGTGACAGTAGCCCCC